AAACCTATAGGCCGTAGCAACTTACTATCATAATGGATTACACTCTACGCTTCCTTCTCAATTCCATAGTCACCCACTATCGTAGAAGAATTATACTCAGCTTATGCTAAAGAGATATTATCTTCTACATCACTTAGTTTACTCAGCTTTTTATATAATTAATTTGGTTCCGAAGAGAGTAGCACACAGACCCCTTTGTTATTTTACTTGTCTGGCATTTTAGTGAAGATTGCTATCTACTTGTTCAACGTAGCCCACTTGATACAAAATCAACAGGCATATATATACTATATACTAGGCTCAAAATATGTAATGCAGCAATTTAGGGGTAAGAAAAAATATATCAAAGGCAACCTATCGATGCTCAAAAAACAGATTGCATTAAATAAGACATTATTCAAAACAGTTTATCTGGCTTATTCCTACTCGTATAGAAACTGAGAAATTTGTGAACTCACTAAATAATAGGCAGGTCTTATTGTTTTGCATTGCTTGTATGGAGAATTCTGGTTACCTTGTCGAGCCTCTCATCCGAATTATAACATGGAAGAAGAGCATTTAATCTGAGCAGAGATTCTCGTAAGGGAATAATTTATTGAGTTGAAATAAACTTGTCATTTCAAAAAATTATATAAAATTTCATCGAAGATCGAAGATAATGAAACAATCACGCATTCAACCATTCTTCCTTTCATCATTATCATTTTTAAAAAAGGGGCTATACACTTTTCGATTTGGCAAGTAATATAGGGATTTTAAATCACGAAGAGGACAAATAGGAATTGGAACCTTGTTGCCATCTTTATTATTGATCAGTGAACAAGGGCCTGACATAGTTATCATTCCTGCAAAGTTAATTGCCTTAAATCTAAAGTTCTAGCGGACTATTGATTTTTCAAATGAGCATTCTCGTTTACAAAATAATCAGAGTTCAAGCGCTTCATAGTGGCTTGTTCTTATAAGCATAGCTCATCCGTATTTCATACATCTTGATAAAAAGTATTTATTCAATTTTGCATGATCTACGAACTAAATCATTTGCATCCAGCTTCTTTCATTTCTTGTTATCTACTTCATAATTAAGTCAAACTTTATTAGAAGTATTTTCTACATTTATCCAATTATTTGATGTGAGTAAGTTAATGAATTTAGCGGTACAATTTAGATTAACTAAGGCTTGACAGCAAAAATAAATTTGTTTCACTTATGCACGAAACTTACTAAAGCATACGCCTGCTATTGGTGGTGGATTCGTTTGGGTATGAGCGTTATCTGTATCTATTTGGCCCGCTCCTACTAGAAATGACAGTTAAGTATCCTAAAGACTAAAACCCCTAATATCATGGAAAAATATGAAAATCTAGGGCTGGTTGGTGAAGGTAGCTACGGTATGGTGATGAAATGTCGACATAAGGAGACTGGGCAGCTAGTAGCTATCAAGAAATTCCTTGAAAACGAAGACGATAAAATGGTCAAGAAGATCGCATTTCGTGAAATAAAAATGCTCAAGGTAATTCAAATTTTTAAATATTTTTTTAGCAACTTCATCATGATAACCTTGTGAATCTAATTGAGGTTTTTCGTCGAAAAAAACGTCTTTACCTTGTCTTTGAGTTTGTTGATCACACTATTCTTGACGATCTAGAACGGTTTCCACAAGGCTTAGATGAATTGCCCACGAAGAAGATCCTCTATCAAGTTTTACGAGGGGTAGAATTCTGTCATTTGCATAATGTAAGCTTATTAATCCACAATCACTATGCCCGACTTATTTATTTGACTGATGTGTAAGAGACGATTAATTTTTACTTCAAAATTTTGCGTTGCCAATTTAAATAGAGACTTTTTTTGTTAATTAAAATCTTGCTTAAAACAGTTGTACTATAACAACTTCTCATATATATCGTTATATCACATTCTCCCCTCTTATTCGATAACTCTGTCAAAATTACAAGTTACTGACAATTTAAAAATATTATCGTCCTTATTTACTTTATACTTTAGATTACATTAATTGATTCATCTTTCGCCTTTAATATATCTTATGAGTTGGGCTGTTTTGTCTCGTAGCAATCTTGTTTTTACCTTTCCTTGTCCGTTACGTTATCAACTTAAAAGCTAGGCCTTCGAGAAATTATTAGCGAATTTGATTCCTCTTAAGTGGTGGGTGGTCGACTTTTATATTTGTTGTTGTATTTTGGCCAAATGAATATACTTTAGCAGATAATTATTTTTTGATATAGATTATTCATCGTGATATCAAACCAGAAAATGTGCTTGTCAGTCGCTCTGGGGTCGTAAAACTATGTGATTTTGGGTTTGCAAGGGCCTTGGCTGCTCCTGGCGAAGCATATACGGATTATGTTGCGACTCGATGGTATCGTGCACCTGAACTCCTTGTTGGAGATCCCAACTATGGAAGGTTAGTTTGCCGAATAATGACCAAACTTTCATAACCTTTGTTAACTAGTTAAATTTTTGTATCTGATTTTCATCACAATTGCTTTTATTTAGATGCCATCTCCATAAAGAAGAGGTTTTAGTATAATTCCTATTATTTTTCCAAGAACACTTGCGTAATTACGTTTCATTTAACTATAAACTCTAAATTAATATACTATTTCATCTTTTCCAGCAACATGAGTTGGTAGTTAGCCACAGTTTAGAATTATTTTCATAGTGTATGTAGGGGGAGCTTGCATACTTCTTAAGTTTTAGATCTGTGTAACCGTAACATTGTGAATCTATACCTTAACTATGCAAAGATAATATTATTTTTCACAATTGGTAATTTTTTTACTATTTAGTTTATATATTACTTCTTCTTGATCACACACAATATGAAATTTCAAATATCTTTCCATAATCTCCATATTAGGAACTCAATATGCTTAGTATAAAAAAGTTACTGAGTTATAAAACAATTACATGAATTTTCTATTATACTGTGCACAATACGATATCCTTAAACAAACTTGAAAATGTCAGCTTTCTACTTCATCTCACAATACTAAAAAATTTAATCTACCTTCTGACTAGCCTTACAGAAAAGCTAATTAATAGTGAATTCAGCTGAGCTTGTTTTAAAAATGTTAGCAATATAAAATATTGTAGTTGTCTGACCTTGTTATCGCAATTTGATCATATTGGGACGAAGACCTAGAGAAACGTAACTTGTCCGGAGTCCATATTATGCATGATAATTTCAATAGTCGGACCGTGGAATTGGTGCATTCACAGACGCTTTGCCGGCATCATCAGTGAGCCTTGATACTCCTAGCCCCACACTACA